CATATGACTATTTTGAACTTATGATTATGCTTTTTACGTGCTTCACGGGCTTCGTGAAATATACATACTGTTATTATTCTCTCGCCTTGTAGGCGAGATGAGGTATCTATGCCTTTTCCTTCTCTTTTCAGCGAAGAAGCTACAGACTACTTTTCGTAGAGGTGTGTGCCATCCCAGTCTACACACCCGTCTTATTGGAGTCCTATTTGAGTCCCATGGCAGTCCTACTGGGGTCTGTTTGCACCCAAAACGGGACTCCAATGGGACTTCTCCCAACGGGACTCGTATGGGAGTCCCATGGGGCTCGGATGGGACTCGGATAAGACCCTATAGGACGGCCCCCCAAAGGGCTTCTTAGCAATTTTTATTCGTTGCTTACATTTCCCCCAGCTCGCGCATACCCACTTACGACTAAGACTAAACAACATTTGGAAAGCTACGTGATATATCTGAATGCAATCCCTACCGACGTTAGCTTATCATGTATCATACTAATCGTTGAATAACGAAATCTACGTATGACATTCACAACCCGAACCCCTAGTTTAATGTAAGAAGTAAAACATAGGTACATTTAAATGCGTAATTGACAAGAAAGCTTTAGAAGCTTTATTCAGTGGTCATCAGAAAATCCTTCGGGTTAGTTTTCGCTGCTGTAATCTCTTCTGTGTTTCTTTTCTTTGGCCTTCTGAATCCATCTTTGCATTAACTCACGTACTTTGACATGAATTTTACCCGGGAAGTTGTTTTTCATAGCGGAATCTATATATTGGTACAAAGTTAGATAACACAGCACGCTAACCGACCACATTGTAGATAACTAACATGCATTTCAGCCGAACCTACGACAGCGTCGAAAATAATTTAAATCTAAAAAAATTGAACTTACAGTCATCACACTTTCGCATATTGTACTTCACAATCACTAGCGTTTATATACATTGAAGCGCCCTCATGGAGAACCAATTGGTTGACTATTATAAATGACTCACGAAATGATAAGTATTGCCCAAGAAACTGACCGAAATGATTTACGGATGATCCATTTCCACACTCTGCGGTCTTTTGTTTAATGTTTAAAGAAAACCTTACTGGTAAATTTGCTTTGATACGTCTTCGTATTGACCATCTAGAATAAACACGAGGATCGAAATATGATGTGGCAAATAATGATGAACGCCGATGAACATACGCATATGAAATTAGTTCGTTTAAACAAACTGCGAACTGATTAAACCCGTTGTAGAATTTACAATTTTATTGGTTTTTAGTATATAATTTATCCGTCCAGTAATTTATTTAGTTCAATTTTCATATTACATAAAAGTAATTATGTAAAGTCCCGACGAGATTCGAAAAAGACTCCAAGCTGATTAGCTTAAAGCGATCATCTTGGGATAGATACCAGCTGACTTATATGCTCGAAGATTTTGAGTCTTACGGGACGCTTAGAAACCGCTGCACAACGCTCCAACGTAAGGACTGGAGGCTCTACCAGCTTCAGCTATGCGAGAAGACAAAGTAAAATCCTAAACTGCTCTAATCGACAGACAAGGTCGATTACTACTGACATCACCAAAATAAAAACGGGAGATACTGAATGTTCCTCTAACGTAGAAGCCACGGAATCCTTAGCAATGCACTTCAAAACCGTATTTGAAAGTGACTCACTATACGCGGAACAACAGCCAACTGACTCTGTTTCGCTTACTCCAACTGAAGTACCGTCCGCCATACGTTTTGACAGAGCCACCATCGAGGCCAAACTGAGTCATCTCCGCCCGACCATATCTCCGGGTCCGGATAGCATACCGGCGGTACTTCTCAAAAATTGCGCAGGGGTTCTAAGTGCCCCCTCGAACAACTGTTTACGGCCTCCATGAACACTGGAAAACTCCCACGTGATTGGAAAGCCAGCATTGTAACTCCGATATACAAATTGGGATCCCGCACAAACCCCGAAAACTATCGTCCGGCAGCCCTTCTTTTCGTACTTTCAAAAGTAATGGAAAGCATAATAAACGATGGAATAAGATAATTTGTTAGAGTCTCGAACTTCTCAATGCACAGCAGCATGGATTCCGCAAAGGCCGGTCGTGCCTAGCAAACCTCCTAGCGGCGACAGACGATTGGACTAAAGAAGCAGACATGGGGAACAGCGTGGATTTTGTATTCCTAGACTTCTCCAAGGCCTTCGACAAGGTACCGCATCGGAAATTATGCGACAGATTCATTTAGTGTGGCATAACGGTAAGGTTACTAAGTCGGTCGAAGACTACTTAAGTGGTCGTAGGTATCAGGTGAGGGGCAATGGCGAAACAGATCTAGGGTCGATTCTGTCGGATCGTCCAAACTTCTCACAAAACTGCGCTAAGCTAGTGAAACGAGGCAGCCTAGTGCAGAGCCTAATAAACTGAAACCTGGGAAGACTGGAGCCCGAATACTTCAGAATGTTATAAAGAACCTACGTAAGACCCCACCTTGAATATAACATTCAAGCGTGTCCCCCAACGTTAGTACCAGACATTAAAGCACTGGAAGCGGTTCCGAGAAGAGCCACCAAGCGAGTCATCGGGCTATCGCAAATGAGCTATGGAAATAGACTTAAGCGACTCAACCTCTTTACCCTGTCCTACAGGAGGCTGAGAGAGGACTTAATATTGATACACAAAATAGTATCAACAAAGTGTCACCCAAACAGCGAACTAATAGTACTATCATCGCACCGGTAACTGCGAGGACACTTTAAGGCCATCTTGCACCAGCAGAGTAGTACTAACAGCAGACGGTTACACTTTATCCGGGATACATCCACTTGGAACTCATTACCCGAGGAGGTGGTCTCTGCGCCTACGACAGCGTGCTTCAAGCAAAAACTAGATAAATTCGCCGTGGACATCACCTCGGCAGTGGACAGTAACCTTGGGTACCCTCAAAGTAATTTTAGGTGGGCCTCTGGACTGTTCACGCAGCAAATCTCGTAAGGCACGCAATTTGGTTCAGATAACTGACAACAGGTAACTAACCTGCTACACCGACAAGAAGCAACCTACTAACCTGTTTATTTTCTTTCTGTTTGCTTACACTTTCAGAGTACAAGAATAAACAAATTCAAAACAGAAATTTCCGAACATCAGACTTTACCGAATAGATCAAGAAACAGGCAAAACTACAAGCCAACGAGCTTTTTCTGCCTGTAAACTGGACATTGGACATTGGGACGATTTTGGAAGGCGAGTCCCGTCGGGACTTCAATAGGACTCCAATTGAAATTTGGTTAACGGGAGAGTCCCGGTGAGACTCACATAGGATGGTCAACCGTCCCGCTGTGCGGACTAGTTTACTTGACCGCATACTACCGAAGGAATTCTGGATGCTCGATTGGCTGTGGCCATTTTCCGTCCTGTGCCAACTGACCTTGGCAGTATGTTTCATATCGATTGTATTCCTCGCTGTTCTTGCTATTTTTGGTATATTTTTCTGTTATTATTGGTTAAAGGTAAGCCAGTTTATTGTTTTATGTTACCAATCTGTGTTACCTAAAGAGCCACAGTTTAACGTTACCTAAATATTAAACGTTGACCTCACTCTACCTGTCAGTACCCTAACAATAAGTTTCCAACTTTTTTTCATAGTTTGTGGATTAGATTGCTTAACTAGCAATCATTAACCCTGTTTACGCATATTATTTATCACCTATGCTACGTGTCTTACATCCGTGCCGGAGGGTTAAGTGCGGAATACAAGTTGTGAAGGGCATATAGTGTGACACCTGCAGCCGCTGGGCCCAACCCAAATTTTCGGAAATACTCGAGTGTCACTAAAACTTCTATTGCGAAAACCGTGAAGTTGAATGGGTCTGTGGCTACTACAAGGAAGCACGCCAAGCGTGGACGGCCCATCAAGCCGAAATTCACGAAAAGAGTTTTGTGATTATCACCGTGCAACTGCAGCAACTCAATCGGACGTTCCCAAACAAATCTCCAGACCGCAGCACCAGACTCCGCAAAGAAATCAGACAGCAAGCTGCTAGACCTATGAAAGAGCAAACGATCATGACCTACGGTACCACAGATACAAATAGTAAACCTGAAACGGCCCCCGGGTAAACGGAAGAGGTCTCAAAACTAAAACGGCGTGGCCTCATTACCTCACCAACATATGCTTCTTTCTTAAGCACCCCTAGCCCCAGAAGCCTGGGGCTGTGCACGCCTTCGACAGTAGTGAGACGCATACATAGCACCGTTAGGAGTCCTCCAGATACAAAACCTATCGGGAAACCGAAACCTCCACGAGGAAGCGCACCTAGATCAAAGCACACATGCCGCAGGGGAAGTCGCTCCTCCACAGATAACCTGAATGGACTGGAGTGTGTACTTCGCGCAATACATGTGCTTCAATCAGCATATGAGTTATATATGGGAAGAAATAGAAATTTAATAAGTAACAACTTCCCAGCGATTTTCATGGAGAATACACGTGCCAGGAGGAAGAAGGACGATGATTTAGTAGACGCGATAATACGAAACGCGAAGCCCTCGAGGACAGACCCCTAGGGCGTGCCCGGCGATTCCTTACAAGGGAAGGAGTCACACTGTGCAAGCGACTTCCTGACAAATGCTTGCAACATAATAAATAAAAAATAGGAGCTGACCATCTTACTCACGGAGGTCAAGTTTGACTTAATAACGAAGGCATGGCTCTCAGAAGGCATTTAACTACCTCGTATAAGTAACAGCTTTAGTGCTTACAGGTCAGACAGACCTAAGGGGATTCAGGGAGATGGAGTAGTTTTGTTGGTCAGAGACCACATTAAACAGGCATCAGTCTTACCCACCTACGAATCCGAAAATTTTCAACTGGTAGCTTGTTCGATAGGTTCTCCGGCAGTACTAACCCCGGTAGGAGTGTACCGAAGCCATCGCACGACGCCGCTCGAAAACGTTTAACTGATTAATAAACTTCTAGACCTGATAAAGACTCCCCTCCGACTATGTGTCATGGGCGACCTTAACGCTCAGGGACACACTGGGAAACCGAAACCAATGAGGGATCTGGCTTCGAAAGCCAGTTCTATTCCAGATCCGGTTGGTTTGGGCCTGACGACGGCTTTGGGTCTACACTCGCAATGGACAATTTGGCACGGCCAATGTTTGTTGGGCGCTGCTGTATCCACCGCTTTGACTACATGCATCCGCATTCCGGACCAGTTTAAGGATCACACCCCATGCCTCACCTACAAGGTGTTTTAAGGCTGGGTGCTTAGCGTCTAGGCAGTCCCACATCAAAGCGACCAACGCCTAAATAACGTAAGTAACCCAAATCAATCCACTGCTTATCGGAGCCCCTGAGACCATCGAACAAGACCCTCCAGAACTCATCTGTTTCACAACGTGAAGTTCATATATATTCCATGACAGTTTCACTCTGTTCTGCTTCACTCTATCCACTCTTGTGCCGGTTTCCGTCCAACGGTCTGCAGGCCGCCTCTTGTTATTTTACTCACTGCTTGTCGTGTTTCCAATCATCCCACCATTCATCCGGTATAACATTTCTTGTTTTCGTCCTACTTCCACCGACTTGCTCTTTTAAAGCATTCCGCCATCCTCAATCTTTTTTTATCTGATACCTTGTCCACTCTGTGTTCCATTTGTAATTATGTTCACTGCGACATACAATTTGTTTTCCATTTGGGCCTCTCCTGTACGGAGGATTATGTTGTACATTTGATCATGTCTATGCATGCCTCGCGGGGCTCCGTGAAATGTACAGTTATTATTATTATTATTATTACTATTGACTCGAAGTGTTGAAAGCTAACGAAACCGCCGACAACACAAGGAACTGGACGCGTGAGAGCCACAAGAGCAATAGCCACAACTCGTCCTGTGAGAAATGAACTGAACTGACAGTTGAAAGCGGCTTCCCAAGGAAATTGTCGACCTCCAAACAAAGCAAGCATTTAAAACTGCAATCAATAAGCGATGGGTGGAACTATTCGCATCACTTACAGTGTAGATGAGTTTAGGTGTGCCAAATGTTTAGGATGCATTTTCCCCATTCACTGGTACACGAATGGATTGCTCACGTCTGATAATTCACTCACCAACTTGATGAAATGAGATCCTATTTCTCATTTTGATTTCAGCAGAGCTGGGTGCCCACGTTGTGAGCATACCATCAAAGAAACTCTGGACGCTGGATTAGCTGTGGCCGTATTCAGTTCAGATATTCTTAGCCAACCTGGCCTGGGTAGCATTGCCGCCAAGTTGAAAAATTTGACGTGCTCTCCTTGAAAAGTAATCAGACATATCCATTGAAATATATCACTCGTTTTTGTGCACCTTTACACACTTGCTCTATTCATTCCGGAAAAGGGAACTTAGATATCTAAGTTTCTCGCATTTAACACAACAAGAAAGTGTTCTCCCACTCTTCGTGTTTTTTACAAATGGAATTTTTTCTGAACTGCAAGTTTCATCTCCTTACCCAAGGCCATCTACTCTACTCCATAGCCGATGTAGCTATGAAGAGTCGGATAAGAGTACTCTCCCCATGCGGTATAGTCCTTCAGAAATAGACGCTTACACACTAGCATGTGTCTTAACGAAACCATTATAGAGAACACCCATCCGCACAAGAATGAGCAGTAAAATCACACGCGGAGGAGAAAGCAGAAACGAAGGTTCACATTTCACGGCTCGAACAGCAGCTCTCGGAGCCTAGGTTGCTCTTTCGTAATGA